TCATGTTTTACCACAAGAATAGAACAGAAGAATATATATACATGTGTTATGTATGATGCGGGTGCATATTTCTGTTGGTTTTGTACCACAGTAATTGATAAAATTTAATGAATAGAATGCAGTTTTTTTTTTTTTAATTTGTTAATAAGCACGCACGAACAAAAATTGAATTTTCAAATATATACAAATAAAGTGTAATTAAATAAATCGATAAAATGAACATGAATTATACATTGGATGCTCCGACAATGGCAACTGAAGATGCGAATGTGACATTATCAATGAAAAATTCATAAACATTCAATTTTTCAACTTTTCATTTCGATTTTTCTGATAGTAAGCTTTTCAGCAATCATAGTTGACGAAGGGGGAGGGTATGTAGGTTTATCTCTGCAGCAAAAACCAACTCCCGGATTTTTTTTCTGAAATATTCTTGACTTTACCCTCAGCTTTTTTTGAACGTTTTCTGGTTTTTATGATTTTCATTAGTTTTGGTTCAAAATACTAAATCAAAATTACATATGTTAAATGTGTTTATTTTTATTTTGTTTAAGATTTTCGTTTTTTGCTTTAACTGTGTTTAATTTGCCTGATCAAAATCATTTTACCCTCCCTCGGAAATAACAAACTTTTAATCACCGCTGCGGTATTTCCAAATCCTCCAAAAATGCTTGTAATCAATGAAATTCAAGCGAAAATCTATTTTCAATTATTAACTATCGGGAAATGTCAGAAAAAATTGGGACATATTTGAGCGCACACATTGTGGAAAAATAGCAGCCAGAATGAAGTACTTTACAGCTATGAACATCGTTCGAGAGAAAAAATGTGTATTATTCATGAAAATTATGACCCCAATGATTGAAGTCCAATCATTTCTCACTGACAATGACGTCTAATTGCAGATTGAAAAATTCATAAACCACACTATAAACCACGTCATTGCGGTATAAGAAAACATCCCACTCACATTCTTGCTATCGAAAGTAAAACCACCCATACTAGAATGCCCACTCATTGGAATTTCCCGAAAACTTCACCGAACCCATTTACAAAATTATTTTGCGTCTCATCACGCAACCAAGTTTTTTCCCACCGATGTGAATATGGCGATGGAAAATTATGTTGTCTATTTGAAATGTACACACAATATGCGGTGCACGATTCGCATCCGAATAAAATATTACGACAAGATAGAGAGGATACCTTTTTAAAAAAGGCCCAACTACGAAAGAAAAATTATGCAAAATCACTTTATATCCATGCCACTGATCGTTCGTCTACGTTGTTGTCGTTTGCGAGACTTTTTTCATCGTTCAATATTTTCATGTTAAATGAATTTATCGGAATTTTCCAACCGAATGGGTTACTTTAGCTAATGGGGGGACATGAGCTCACTCACAAACTGTGATGATTGATTGCCCCTGAAAAAAATAAGAACGAAGCAACTCAAACAATTAGGCAAATGCGAATGTAATTCCGACAATGTTCAGCCGCGCACAAACTATATATAGTGTTTACATTTTCCGGTGGTGAACATATTTTTCGGATTATGCACAAACTTTTCCAATATATGCGGAAAAATGAACATTTTGCATATTTCATTGGAGTCGCAGCCATTTTATGGTTCGTATTTTTGTATAGTATATTTTGTCAACGAATTCGAAACTTGATCAAGGTGCATTCAAATGGAAAATGAAAATTCCATGGAAAAACTTCAATGTATGCGTATGTACGGAGGATTATTTGAAAAGTTTCGCAATTGGATTGAATTTTGGACGAAAAGTGAACACAGAAACAAGTGACCCGACAGAGAAAAGAAGAGAGAGAGAGAGAGAGATACATGAAAACTTCAACGCTCTGAATAAATATTAAATGACAAATTAATATCTCGCATCAAATTCGAAAATGAGTCTCAACGATTCCTATTTATATGTATTTTATATCGTTTATAATATACCTACACAACAGCAGACTCAAACGCATTGATTGTCTTTTGTTTCACTTGAATGCTGTTATTGTATGTTTTTGAAGTACAAAGCGAAAGGGACAAACGGAAGAATTTTCTCGATTGATTTTATTGACAGAATTGACGCAGAGAAATAGTGCTGGTGTGAACAGAGACGATCACACCTTTTCACATCACAATATTAAAAATTCAATAGCATACAATTTGAATTGTGTATCTTGTGACAAAGAAAGGAATGCGAATATCCCAAAGGGTTTCACAATTTTGATTATCCTATTCGAGATACTATGAATGCATTATTTTATGCACGGGAAATTGAACGGGTACAGAAACCATGACCTAGATTAAATAATCATGGGAAAAGCGCCGAAAATAGAAAACCAAAAACCAAGAACTCAACGAGCAAAAAAGAAATCCATCTCCATTTGGAGAAAAGAAAATTATAACATCTATTGTGAGTGACATTGCCTTTCGAATCAATCACAACTAAGTTTGAATGGAACGAGTTGGTCAGCTGCTTAGCTATCATAAGCCGTCATGCATATTATTCGTAAACAAATTGAGCGATGTGAATATTTCATGAAATATTCTTAAAAGGCGCAATTGAATGCCACTGATGAATGGATTTTGTGCGGTAAAATTGAATTTTCGATGGAATAAAAGTGGACCCAAGTAATTTTTAACTCTTTTCACATCGTCGATTGCTGATGAAAGTAACACGAGCCATTCGTTTTAAATTTTACATGAAAATTGATGTATGTCACGTAGAAGTTTAAATTTGACAACGCGAATTTTGACTCTTTCTTTGGTGCAAAGTCTTGCGAATGCTTGTAAACACGATAAATTCTTGACGTCAAATAATTTTCGGTATATACATGCGGAAAGTCATCTATTTTTGGATTTGACAATAAACATGCCAACCGCGAAAACACGCATCGTTTTCCATTGTACACAGAAAGTTAATAAATACTTCGCTTGCGTATCTGCATTTGGGATATTGACAGACATCTTTCTCTATCGCAGCTGCTCGTCTTCTGTTTTCGATGATAATTTAAAATAAATTGAATTGTTCATGCAATGAAATCATAGCCTTCAATGTTCTCTTTTGCATCTGGATAAAATTGCTTTTGCAATTAAATGAACACTTTTATAACTTTTTCCCAATTTTATTATCAAAATGTATTAAAATTGAAGCAACATTTTTGTCATGAACCTTTTTTTGGGTGAGATCGAAAAGGGGCAATATTTAAAATGTTGTCACTGTGTAAAATGTAAAATGTGCTTTGAAGAACGTAATTTTCTCATAAAGCTTTATTTGATATGGCTGAAATATATCTACGTCCTTCAGATAGGAAAAAGACACAACCGACCGTAAATGTTCAGAACGCTTTGATCATATATAGTAAATTTGATGATACTTTTTCATTTGATGAATGGCCGTTGGCAACAAGTTTCACTTGCGGATGATGAATTCTCGGAATTCTAAGCTTCATTCAAATGTATTAGTTCGTCTCAACTGCATACAACTCGGTTCATGATTTATGCAACGCATTTCGTTCGCCATGGATATGGAAATTGACCTTTTGCCCGGCCTTTTTGTAACGCAATTTTCCATTATACATTATTTCATTATTGCCGTCAGGCACTTGTTGAAAATTGAGCACAGAATCGATGTTCGTCCATTGCAATCTCTAAATATTGTAATGATAAAATACGTTTTGTATAAAACCATTTTCTTGTTGCCATGGATAACAATACTGCATAAATAACTGCATTCAATAATAACAGCCCAACAGCCTTGCAGCAAATATTGAATTTTTTAAATGAGTTTCACACATTTTAATTGCAGTTTAATAATTATTGATATTTATTTTCCCTTTTTTTACTCAGTGTTATGCAAATAAATAATTACTGATTGAACCAATTTTACGACAAAATCGCTATTTTGGAAAAAATATTTATTACATCAAAGACGCATCAAAGAATGAGTTTTACAATAATGTTTTTTACTTGCTTACATTTAATTCAGTTAATTCTTGGGAATGCGTTCATTTTTGTTTCATCACTTTCCTTGCCTTTTTTGGATCATTCGTGTGACTTGTTTCCAGACACTATATTTAGATATTTTGAGCCAACTGAATCAGATCAGGCTGCAAACGTCAAGCGCTGAAAGCAATAGAAGTGATTTTTATAGTGATTGTAAAAATGGAATAACTACAAAAATCACTTCAATTGTTATCGCTCCATTTCAACGCCTGCCATTGGTAGCCTAAGCTAATTCAAGCTAGCTGAAAATATGTCAATATAATGTCTGCTATTCTTTCCAAGCATGCGAACTTTATGTAGTAACTTTTTGTATCTAGGCCCGTATACTCCGTATATTGTGTTACATTTGTATCATTGCAATGAAATGACTTAAATATTGCTTACTGCAGTAAGACGACGAAATTATTCATTGCAATGCTCATTTCTGAGAATCACGATGTTTTTCATATTTTTTTCAACTGATTACAAAACGTGTCTCTCACTCGAAATAGCTATTTTTATATTGTGTACATTGAAATATAAATGTCATTTTTAGAATGCTAATCGTAACTGATTGCTTATATGGGTCATCGTTCATATGAATCCCTTAGAATAAATCAACATTACTAGATAAATGTCTTCAAATGCGTTACTGAAAAAAGTCAGTCAGCAAAAGCGTTATAAAATATATGGACGATGTCACGCTTTTGTTGGCGAACTTTTTTATATAACGCGTCACATAAAGTTTTTGACACTATTGCTAACGTACTTTTTTCTATAATGCATTTGAAAACATTTATCTAGTAATGCTGATTTATTCTAGGCGGTTCATATGTTATCTCGTTCAAAAATAAATGTCAATAAAACATTTTCTGGCATTTTAATATTTACCTTTCAAAAGTAATCATCAGTTTGAGTTTTTTTCTTGCCAAATTGTAATATATAAAATGAGAAACAAGCGACACTTTTTGCTGGTTTATTATGTTTGAAATTTTATTTATGAGAAATAATAATAATAATAATAATATTGCATTTGGTAAAAAAAAAAGTTTTGTAAACTATGAATGTTGATTGTTTGGCATTTAAAATGGAACGTTATAACGTTTTTACTGAAAACTGAATACTCGAGAATGAATGTGTGACTTCTCATGAGATTTGTTTGAAATATTCCTTTGAAGTGAGAAGTCTCCCACTCATTCTCGCTCAATCAATTATTATCTAGATATTAAATTAGACTATTTCCTGTGCATTTTGTTGTGTGGAATTGTTTTTGGCTGTCGTTGGTTTTTCTTCGGAATTTGGCATCAGTTTGTCAGTTGTATGTTCCATCAATTCCGTCTCATTTTGTTGCTGCGATGGTTTTGAATGTTTTTTACCGAAGAAAGCATCTGCAAATAGTCCCGAAAATACGAAAATTGCACCGACCCACTGCAATGGTGTTGACGGATTGCCAAAGAATATGATTGAAAATAGTACGGAGAAAAACTTTCGTACGGTTGTTGTAACACTACATGCCAATGAACCGAAATTGGCCACCATCGCAAAAATGAATAATTGACCAACAACGCTGCAAATCGCATACACCGCAATGTGCCACAAAATATCGGGATGACGACCGATAAATTCATACACATGCACAATTTCACCGGTGACAATAATCACAACAGATGTAATCAAAGAGCCAAATGCACTCATGCCCAGCATAAATTTTCGTGAACTTGGCGCAAATTTTTCTCTCACTTTATCCTGAACAGCTCCCAATAATCCATCGAAAAAAAGCGAAAGAAGTAGCAAAGCCGTTCCAAGCATTTGATAGTCGATGTCACTTTCTTCTTTTGTAGTTTTTTCGTTCGCAATTGGTTGACCATCTTTTGCTTTCTTTTCTGGTTTTTCTTCGAAATATTTGAAGAACACCACACCGGTTACGATGATTAAAACGAAGAAATACCGCTGAATTGCGTATCGTTTGCAGATCAACAAGCCAGACATCATGACCGATAGTGGCTTAGCCGATTTGAAAATCACCTGCATTGGATCTATGTATCGATATAAATTAGTCATCGAGTATTGGGATTAATCGAATTGGTATACTCACATGTGACCCATCTCAAAGCAGAGTATGATGAAATCATTGCTGAGGTATTTGCGGCTGATGCAAGTGCGTAATACCACAACTTTGTTTTGTCCTTTTCCTCTTCTGGCTTTAAGACATCCAATACTTATTGAAAAGAAAAAAAAAACGACACAATTCGATAAAGTGGTAAAAAAAGGAAAATCGAAAATTTTCCTACTTTTTTCATTTAAAGAAATGAATTCGGAAGAGTCCACACCGTACCTTTCATGAAAATAAAAGAAAATATAAAATTTACTCCAACCAATGTTGTGACGTGTTTGAATTTTTCCTCTTTTTTATCGGAGCCGATGTAAGGAACTCGCACAATCTTTTCTTGTAAAATGCCCACTACAAAGTACGATAGAAATATGCCCACGGCGATTGAAATGAGTTTGATCAGTCCATTCTCTCTCCATTGGCGTTGACATGTATTTACAACGGCATAGATTGGGCTGCTGCTTGAGGACGACTGCTTAGGTTGACCATTTATCTCCACAGCCGTGTAGTTGGCTTCTGATTCTTTCTCATTTGAGCTTAAATGTGACATTTTTTCCGTTTGAATATCGTTGATTTAGCCAGCTTAATTGCAGAATTAATCAAAAGAAGAAAAAAAAGCATTTTAAACAATGACGAAATCAGACAGTGTCTGGTTGAAATTAAACATGGTAAAGTTATATTTTACATTCCACAATTATTTTGTGAGAGACAATTGAATGAGATAAAACAAAACATAAAAAAACAACAACAATAGTCATATACACAACGCTTTTTATTATTATCGATAATGACAAAACACACAAACACGCGCTCTTTCTCGTTCTCTCTTTCCAAACTAAAACTAGCGCGAACACGATTCATATCAAACAGTGATTCACGTTGTGTGTTTCACAATCTTCTTACTGCCTACATATGACCAAATATAACACATCGTAATAGCATTTAATGGATGAAATTCATTGCACTGTAGATATACAGTATATCTCATTCATATACCAAAAACCTCACGACTCATTCATTCGCTTCACATTGTTACAGGGTTCTCAATATGGATATTTAAACCAAAATCACAAAATCAAATGATTTGGATGGAAATTTCCAAATGAAAACAGTCAAATAACCAAATTATACAAAATATTTGGCTGTTTTTATTTGAACCTTATCAAATCATTTAATCTGTTTGTGAATTGATTTTTTTATTTTCACACAACTTGAACTCATAACAGAGAACCCTGTTCTACAAACATGTTGTACAACATTTTGTTATACATATTCGTTGAAATGCGCATGTATTTATATATAGTGTATTTTCGCACGGTGTATTCGACGCCTATACAGTGTACAACACAAGATAAGCTAAAAATGTGTTCTTCACGTGTATATTTCCACATAACCGGTTGAATAAAACTCTATTTTTCTCACTGAATTTGTTGTAAAATTCAATTCAATCGTAATAAATTGAATGGAAATTATATTTCACGTTAAAATCACATTTAAATTCTTATAGATGGATTGTCAAATGTATCAAAACGTGTACCTCTGTTAAAACCAGCGTCTTTCTTTCACCGCCGCACAAAATAAACTGATTCACTTCGTGTTTTTAACTAACACACATGCTCCGTACCGCCTTATCTCTGACTATGTTCATGTTCACAGTCGTTGTTTGTGTAAGATGCATGAATGCGCTTAACATCGAAGTTCAATGCAAATCAGCTGTTGCAATTATAGCAATGATAGCGTTGTTGCTTTTTTTATTCATATTACTTTAAATTGAAAACTTTTTTTCTCTCTCTCTTGGCGTTCTGTCATTTGTCAAATGTTTCTCTCGGGATTTAAGGATTTCAAAATTCACCACCAGAGTACCAGATGGACAAATTCACATTTTCACCACACTTTGATTCCCTTTAAGGACTCTCAGTAGGTGCCTTTCACACAAATCAAACGTGTTAAATCTCCTTTGTGTACCGAATACTTCAACGCATATCAAACTTGAGAAATGGGATAGGCGATATTTTATTGTTTGTCGTGGTGATATTATTAGCACCGTTTAATCTTTAAAAGATTAAGATTGGAAAATGTGTAATGGATGAGATAAAGTATTATTTCTTCAAGTTATGACTAATAATTGGATTTTTTACTTAATTTTTAGTTAATAAGGTTAAAAGAGATATTCAAATAGCAATCTTCCCACTAATTTATCTTCCTATTTTATAATTTAAATATAGACATTTCTATGATTTTTTTTTAAACTTAAAATCCACGTGTGTAAACATTCGATAACCACCTACAAATGTTATTTTTGATGTGTTGGTGATAAATGTAAATTTTACATCAACAATGTCGATTGTTTGATTAAGCTACAACGGTTCGCAAGCAGAACTAACATCAACTAACTGAGTCAGTTGGATTTAATAGTATAAATTGAATTTGAAAAGAAAAAATCTTTTATTTAAACACAAAATTTGTCATTCATTTACTGTAAGTTTTAACATCCAGTGCGTGTGTGCCTGTGTCGGAATGAGAAAAGCAAAAACTCTTTTGGCCAAATATATTTGGGCAAGCGTTCATCAAACAAAGTTTAGGACTGCTTCAATGCTCACTGTTCCAAATTTTGTTCTCATCTCTCTCTCTCTCTCTCTCTCTCTCTCTCTCTCTCTCTCTCTCTCTATGTGTGCGTGTCTCCCCCGCTCTCTGTATATTTATAGCGGAAGCGGCTTTTACAAATTCAAAGTTGTAAATTGGTTATTCCTTTCAAATGCTACAACAAAACCGCATTTTATGGATCGAAACTTTAAAATTGGATGAACATTGGTTGTCGTTGCTAAATTTAGTTAATTTTATTGATTACATGAAACATGTTCAGTTTACATGGTGTGTGTATGAAAACGCCAAAGCTGGATATGAATGAGTGAGGGACACTGGAATAAAATTGATGTTCATCCGTTTGTGTGATGTGATTATGTAAGGTACAATTCACACCTCGGGCATATTACAGATATTACATACAATTTCGAGAATCACAAAATTTACCGAAAATATTTTTCGACTGCGCTTCACTTAATAGTCACTTAAATTCCGTTATTAAAATAGTTTTCGGAAGCAGCGTTGTCGTGACAAGCTCATAATGCCGCAATTCAGTTTTATAACATATTCGGGTTATTTTACATGTTTCACGTAATTTTGACACACATTCAAAGCACCTAATGCAATGTGAATATTGGCTGATTTTGTACAGATATGCATGGGTGTGTGTGTGAATCTTATCTTGTGCTGGATTTTTGCTTCCTCCTGTTAGTCGAGCAGAAATATGGTTTCACCATTTGAAGAATTTCTCTCTATGCAACACAACATTTTATGCAATGCAGATTTAAATGAATACCAAAAATAAAGCTCAAGGTAACGACCATCGAAGTTTTTAGCAGGAACTAAACATAATCACGTCATCCGATGAATCTCGAATTAATCAAAATTACCTTGATATTTTCACATGAGTGCACCGAAGATATTTCCGATTTCAAAATACATTCTATTGATTTTACAACTGCCATGCATAAATGCAATGTCCATGGCATGGCAATGTATATTCGAATAATTGATGAAATTGTGCACTTCTTAAATTAGATTTGAAAAAAAATCGAGAGATCTCGCCGGAATGTTTACGATTGATCACAGTGTGCACTAAATAAAAGCAAAACAAATTGGAAAAACAAAATCCATGCTAAATCAATAAATGCCTTCAGATGTTCAAATGATGCAATTCCAAAATATAACGTGGGCTAAGTGTCAGAATTTGAATAAACAATTCAAATGGCATAAAACGTGAGAGAGAGAGAAAACGTATGCAATTGAATTAGACATCGATCTGAAGACACTTGAATGACATTTGCTTGCACACTTATTGCCTTTTATATTCTATTTAAAGCATCACAAGCAGAGTGCTATGTGCTTGCTCCTTTTTTATTCGAAAATATCTCTATTTACGTACTTTCTTGCATACGCTACGACAGTGACTGAAAGAATGCATGTGCTGTGACGCTGCTGCTGCTGCTGCTTTGCAAGTGTCTCAGAAGAACAATAAATTTTGGCAGCAAATTGTATTCAGAATACGTCTTAATTTCATCAATTTAAACACACTTGTGTATATTTCATGGATTGAATCGTTCCGGTTTAGTGTTTTGAGTACTACGTCTATTTATTTGGCAATTGGGAAAGAAGCGAATAATACGGCACTCTATAAAATGACCACATTGGAAATGTTGAAAAAATGGTACTCGCATTCGAGCGACAAATTACAGCAAAATGAAACGAGCAACAATGAAGTCGATGTTTGAAGAAAATTAATAAGCTTGCTCTTGTGAGCTTGTCGAGCATTCTCACACCTTTTTTCCACCTCCTATAAACTACGTAGTAATTCCATTTGATGTATTTTACGGTGAGTAGAATTTCGTCATGGATGCTGAATTTCTTGAATACAAATATGTCGTGGTTGCACACACACTCAAGCGCTGAAGTGAAAAGGAAAATTGAAAAGCATCGGATGTATACACAATTTTAATAATATATGAAATCCGTCGTTTCGGGCTTGTTGTTCCATTTTCGTTTGGTTCATGCGAAAGTTCAAGGGGAAAACTATGATCACAGGTTAATTTAGTGAACAAGCAACAGTCCAAAAAAATGCCATAAATCAAATTTAAATGGAATAGCTTTTGGCAAAAGGAAAGTACATCCCCCTTGACTGCTGATAGATATATATTTGTTCGTGCATCGTTCTCCGCTTCATGCTATTGTGCTTTGGAACAATTTACAACTCTTTTATTCCGCGAAATTACCTGCAAAAGCACTCTCATTCTTGGCACATTCAAACGATTCTTTGAATTTATTTTTTTTGCGCAAGAATCTAAATTGAGCTTTTTATTGCCATCATAATAAACAATAAAATTCCCTCGATGCTCCAACTCCTGTGTGTAATATTTGCAAATGGTTTCGTTGCCAAAATGAATTCAAAAGCTAGAATGGTCAATACGATGTTATGAAGTGCGTGCTCTAATAAAAGAAGAAGTCATCGACTGAAAAATGATATTGTGCACGCGGCAACAAAGGCTGTAAAGCTATTGCTCATATCAAAAATGGTAATCGTCTGCCAAGAATTTGCCAGCGTAAAAACGATAACTGTTTGGTTGATAAAACGAATTAAGCATTTTGCGTAGTACTCCGGTAATGATTTTCGACAAAATTTTGCTATATATCGTGGATCAAAACGTAAGGCTGAATTTTAACTAGAGAGTAAACAAAAGAAACATGAGCATACTTTAACTTATTTAACTCGTAAAAAGAAAACCGGTAATCTGATGCCATTACAATCACCCAGACAGCGACTGTGAAAATATTTTGGCCAAGATTAAGCCCTGCGATAACTTCCCGAGAGATTTCAATTCAAAGAACAAAAAAAAACATCATTTTATATTTACATTATCCTACGGCAAAATAATTTCAATTTTCCGTTGGTTTGCGTTTCGTTGTCTCTTTTATTATCAAAATAGCATCTCGTTTGATGGTTTCTATTGGAATGTAGCAACTCTACACTGCAATTACGCATTTTTTTCGTCTTATCACCTGCTATTGTTGTGATATCTACTTTGTGACATCAAAGTCATCTCGAAAATCGAATCATTTTTCCATTAAACAAACACAAATGCCTATCTACCCGTTTAATTATGTGACTGACGGGGAAGCATAGAGACCCACCCACACCTATTCAACGCCATATCATTTTTACATACACATGAGTTCACGTGTAATTATCAATCTCTTTTTTTGGTTTTATCATACACGCACATTCAATGCACACAATCATTGCATAGATGATGACGTAAATTTTTTTAGAGGGGGGTGATGGCAAAATTCCGTAGAGGGTCCCTGGAAAAATCCATGGGGGTCCCTGACGAAGTCAACAATTTGTCGGAAATGAGGAAATGTCGTTTTTTTTTCACTTTTTTGACGAAAAACCCTAGCAAATCGAAAGAATTATCTCGGCCAAAAAAAGTGAAGAGCAAAAAAAGGTCCTCATTTCCAAAATTGTTGAGGGTTCCTAAAAATATTTTAGAGGGGGGTAATCCGAACCCTAGGAACCCTCATCATCACCTATGCAATCATTGTCTCCTTTCAATTTTAAGGCCATTCATTTATGCTGATAAGAGCTTTGCCAACAAAATGTTATACTCATAAATACACTGCAGGTCAAAAGTTTGAAAACGACTCCGAAGCTTTAAAATATTGGCCTGAAAATGATAGTTGACTCAAAATACCATTTTGTCAATTGAAACTTTCGGCCTGTAGTGTACATTGGAACGAAGTACAAAAAATGAATACGCATTTTCTATGTATGTGGAACATTTTTTTCCATTAAGCATTAAATAGATAAGGTGTTGGTTTTTTCATGTGGCTGAATTCGATAGATAGTGCTCAGAATATTGAATGATAACATGATGTCAACGGTGCATCCCTATAATTTTCAACGTACAACGTATATATTCAAAGTGGTGTTTGTCAATGTACATATGTACATATGTACATATGTTGTGTGGTTATCGATTTATAGAAAGTGAAGGTGGGAAAGAGATAAAAAAAAGCACAGCCAAAAGCAATTATAAATCAACTACAATTTGATTCTGGTACGCATTTTACTCTTTGAATACTTAATACGATGTGATTCAATATTGAAAATAGGGCATGGATATGCTGTATAGATATGATGTGAAATTACTTTATTTGGTTAGTGAATTCATGCGCTCGCACCGCCAATGTGTATGTTATGTATATTTAAGTTCTCATTTCATTTGCTCTTCGTATATCTGAAATGTGAAGTTGGGCACGATAAATTTTTTATCATTTAATTGGACCAGAAGCAACATGCTTCTCGTTTGCACATGCACTTCAAACAAAAATC